TTATGAAAAAGAGTGAGTAAAGCAAGACAAGTAGACTTTTGTTGGAAACTAATACCGTATGTTTCGGTATAACACTCAGTAGTTCGAAATAAACCTTCTGTTGTGAATGAAAAAAAACGCTCCTTTCTATGTAAAATGAGCAATTTTTACTATATTTTCTAACGTTATGCCCGTTTTAAGATTGAAAAAGCACAACGGAGTGACAAAAAATACACAACGATTTTGCAAAAACTGATAATTTTCTGCCCGTTCTGTTTACATTTTCCCTATCTGTTCGTACCGGACTGTAAGAAGCGAACTTTTGAGCATCTTTTCTATACGGTTGAGAGATAGATCTGACAGCATGTCTCGGATGTTTACATATGTGCTTGTTTAGGATCGTTATTTTGGCTGTGGAAAAACAAGTTACAGATTTATAAGATTATTACTTAACTTCATGTCACAGATCCGAGCAAATTTGCAAAACATATTCTTCAGCTAAAGCTGCTCTTCATTTCTCGAAAATAATGTGGCATCTTATAATTGTACTTAGTTCGTTAAGGCAAAACCAAATTTTCTGTTCTCTCTAAATGTCATTTTACAGTACAACACGCACAAATACGACGTTTTGGTCCGCAGCGTTTTAACATATGAACCTCTTTTATAGTTCAGCATTTAGCGTGAACAAATTTCGTTCAAATTCCTTTAAACATAAGTTCGATTATGGTTGCCTGCGGATACTGATGTCAATATTGGCTGCTTTGCAGGAGTCAAGATAAATGCAGATAGGTCTAAGTAACCCTAGAGACTTTGGATAATTTTGATATCTGAAGTTATTGGAAACTTACTTGCTTCTTAGCGCATCCTTGAAGAGTTCTACTCTGTTCTGCTAGCAGTTGAACCACGAGGGAGCTCCAAGTGATTCAGATGTCCGAAACGTGCAGAAGTTGTCAAGATGTTTTTGTGCCTTCGAGTGATTGAACTTAGCGTGTCGCAGAAAAGCCAACAGAAAGGCATCGTCTGCCGAAAGAGAAAATTAAAGAACGTAACAAATGTCTTATTCACACAATTGTATTTCTTATCTCACTATGACCAGCCAAATCGTGAAATGCAAAGTGGGCCTACTCGATTATCGCCAACTCGCGCACTTGGAAATAACTCGTCTATTAGTACTTTCGCGGCTCACCTATTTTTAGGACAATTCAATATAATGAAACAGTAATTCATTTAGAGAAATGTATAGTGCACAACTGTAGAGGAGATGAAACATTCTTGCAATTTTCAAGTGCGCCCTTTTTCGTTACATTGTATTATACCATATATATTCATCGACAAATAACTATTCCTACCTGTGACCTTTAACATCCGTGCTTACTACGTCTGGGCCTTTTGCATATCACTGCTACTTTTAAAATTTTTCATATAATAGAAGGGAATTTCGGTCGGTTTATGGCTTAACAGAGATACGCCGTCCGCGCTTTACATCTTCACATTACGCATGGCAGACAACTGTGTTCAATTTGTTGTTGAGCCATGATCAGCCAATACAGAACAGATCACAACGATTCGGTCTATAAACCCCCCGTATAAAATAATATGGTGGTGATAATGATTTAGTGCATCCTTAAGACTACCTGTGGGACACTTGAGATGCGGCATGGAGGACAGCCATCGCCAGAAGCTCTTTAGATGCGCAGCAACGTGACCCGGGACTTCGCCCAACTCCTTCGACGCTCGTTTGACTAGGAATTTTGGCAGTGGTTCTTCCGGATTAAATAAAGTATACGGGTATTGCTTCGGCATGCCTTCGGTACGACAGGGAAATTTCGAATGACTGTTAGTCAAACACATGCCTGGAGGGCCAGCCATTGGTTGCAGCACACTCCAATCAATGAGGCACACTTGACTTGCATCGTTTGCCGTAACTCGCATTTGGATTGGTTGGAAATGCCCTTTGTATTAATGATGTAATCAAAGGCAAGCTAGTTGCCCTATACAATTAATCATAATTTTCAATAAACAGGCTATGTTTAGATTTTTCAGTATAGTCATTGGTATACCAATAACAGGCTATATCCACGGCAATATAGCCCGTATGTCGACATGTCAAGATACAAATGTCGTCGCTATATCGCAACTGTCCGCTTTGTCGATATATCCCCTATATCGCCATGTCGACATATGGTGATATAGACGAAAAGGTGGATTAACCGCTTTGCGCAGGGGCCCGATATGAACCTAACTGGATTTCTCTGAAGTAGATAGGCATGCGGCTGTGCTACATTGCCCCCCTACCATCATCTAGTACGCCGTACATTGCAGAATATAACCCATCCATAAATGACTTTCGTATTCTCGTCCTCCCACTCCGAGACGAAAATCATATGGTATACAACGAAAGTCGGGTAAATATGAGAAAAGTTTATTAAATATTATTAAGTATATGAAAGAGAAGTACTAAAAATAGGAAATAGAAGAGTTG